GTCGCGCGCCCGTGTAACTCGATCGCCTCCTTCGCGATCTCACCCCTTTCTCTCTCGTGTTCGGCCGCCTTTTTTCTCCTGCCGCTAATTCTTCGTCTCGTGCTTCCTAAATGGTAAACGAGGTTAACGATTCAACGCGCGATTGTTTCGGCGTAATTGTATTTAACGGTTTGTCGCGACTGTTTTCTGAGGGACGTGCGATTGTTTCAAAGGAATTTCGTTTGACACGCGAGAATTTAGTTTTCCGTCTCTTTCGATCTCGAGGGAATTTAGTTAATTATATTTAATAGTTTGCGGGGATCATTTTCTAAGGGACGAACGCGCCGTGCGATTGTCTCGAAGGAATTTCGTTTGACACGTGCAAATTTATTATCAGACTATCAATCATAAACAATCAAAAATATCGTAACTCTACGTATTATTCTACAATAAAATATGTTTTCATCTATCGTATATACATTGATCTATTTATAAATTAATTATCTACAACAGTATTTCAATTTCAAGGAAATTTAGCTGATAGATCGAACGAAGGGATTTTCTGAGTGAAACGAACGCGTCGTGCGATTGTTTTGAAAAGAATTTCGTTCAACACGTACGCAAATTTATTTTCCCATCTCTTTCGATCTCGAGGAAATTTAGTTAATGGTAGATCGAACGGAAATAAGTTTGCTTTCATTTCATTGGTGATTTACAGAAATTGAATCTACCATTTTCAAGCGTTTTTATCTACCGTAATTCTTCGTCTTTCTATGTTTCAAGACAGACAAATACGTCAGCAAGGAAAGCTTATTTCCAAGAAGTTCGATTTCATTCGTTTAAATTTAAATATTATACTCTGCGATCTACTTTCACGTTTCAACGGGTAGCGAGTTAGTTTTGCACACGCCGATTTAGCGATTGGATAACAATGTTATTAAATTCAATGCCGTTCTAAAAGAAGGGGGGGGAGAGATTTATTTGAAAATTGAATATCGTTCGATCCACTCCAAGCCGGAAGTTTCTTGGTTTATTTTCAAGTTCCAGCGGATCAATTAGCAGTACGAGGAATGCGTTTTCACATGTCGGCGGTAGATCAATATCGGTATTAAATCCGCTCGGTGCCCCGGATTAAAATTTCATCGTGGCGCGATGTAAAAACCGAACGGCTGCCGAAGAAACGTCTGCCAATATTTCACGCGGCAATAAAATTTTCGATAAACAACGAACTTAAATTCAAGTTCACAGACGGCGGTAATTTTCGATAATTCACGCCGATTTTCCCTGACCGATTCCCAGACATTTCACGACAAGAATTGAAATTAAATTGTTTGTTTCAGCACACGAGAGCGGACAAGAGGAATATTTTACAGGGCGATAAATCATTTGAACTGGCCTCGTAGGCTTTCGCCGATGGAACACGTTCTGCCACGGGACTAGATGGCTGGATAAATAGACGCGTGTGCTTGTTCGGCGAGCGGCGCGAAATAAAGATGCGAAACGTAGCGATTGAGATTCAACGGTGCCGATAATTTAACTGGTAGCCATGAAAATGCTGAGATCCTAGAGCTAAAGAAACGTGACTTTTTCTCTTTCTCCGTGGCCGTGTGATCCTACGATATATAAACTTGCTTGGTAAATGTTTCACCGTGCCTCGAGTACGAACGAACTTCGAGGCCCAGAAAACCGATAAATCAGCCGGCCAATTTTACATCTCCGTTCCCCCAGAAGCGAGTACACGTTACGTGGAAGGAGAGAAAAAAAATCCTTGAATATTGCAATCCGCCTTGTGTACCGCGAAGAAATATCAAACCGTTGTACTATATCTTTTTTTTTTTCATTGCTTTCAGAGCGAGAGATACTTCAGGGAAAGATCAAAGATAAAGTTCTGTGAAATGGAACTTTAGAATTCGAAAAAAAAAAAAAAAAAAAAAACAAATTACGAACGGAATATATTTTTCTTTTCTCTTTTTGCTTGTCTCTCGGTGGAAATGGCATAATCAAAAATACAGAGAAAGAAAAGGGGAAAAAGAGGAGAGAAGAGGAGAAGAGGAGCAAGAGCATCGTAAAGGAAGAACGCGCGTAACAGTTGGCAAAGCTCGATGCAGCAACGACATTTTAATACGAAAAAATAGGCAATACTGGCATTTCCGAGTGTCGGCCGCCTCGTCGAATTGCTTAGCTGGCGGCTCTCGAGTTTCGAGAATTGGAAACGTTTTCTGTTCCCCCTTTCGGTGCCGCCAGATGAAACTTGAAAAAAGAAGAATGCAAGTTCTCGTGCCGTGGCACTCGCATATCAAATTCGCGGGGCGACGTTTAGCCTTCTTCGATGCTAATTAGCCACGTCAACGAATGGAGTATATATAATTTTAGTCACGCGTGACAAAGGTGTGTCGTTTAAAAGAACAGAGGATCGTTCGATATAGGCTGTGAATAAAAATACCGAGAGTCGCTATCTTGCTCGTGTCCGACGAGATGTATATATATATATATTTTACGGCGCAAATTGACGTACAAACTTTATTGAAATAATAAAATACAAGTGATTTTAATGCTGTCTGTGAAATCACGTGCAGTTTGCTCTATTACTTAGCGAACTTCCATTAAAAACTTCTTTGAACTAATAGTGAGACATCCGACGTGAAGAGCAGTAACGTTTAAAAGTTGAACGTACGCGATAACATATGTAGCGAGTAACAAATATATCGATACTCTGACGTTTAATTTATTTCCAATCCTCTGGCTCTTATTATTAATTCGTGAAATTAACTTGTGTTTGTCCTTGCTAAATTCGTTTTGTCTGAAAAAAAAAAAATATCAAAAAAAGCTTGCCATAAACTTAAGTAAGAAGACATGTCATCCGCGGAAGGATAAATTCGAAAAAAATAATCGCTTGCGTCTTTAAATTTGCCATAAATGCAAATAAGAAAGAGAGAAACGACCAGAAACACAACATCCCGTGGAACGATGAATTTAAAATATAATCGCTTGCCGCTCGTGTTTTTACGTTGAATATCTGTATTTATAAAGCTTTACATAAAAGTATGTCGGTGATCAGGAGATCAGGAGACTATGTTATATAGAAATGATACCGTCTCGTATCTCGTGCAAACGTAACGAAACAAAATAATCAACTAGGAGGCAAGCTGCTTCGACAGAAAGACACCCGATTGGCCAATACCAGCTTAATTGACTTATGCCCCGCAACAAACCGCGCATTACGATTGAGAATCACGTCTAAGAGTCAACGAGAGCACAGCTGCAGGGGGAATCGGCTCTCGCTTCGGCAGAATCGTGACCGTGCCATGAGGAAACAGTCAAAATAACACTGACGATCGACCAAGTCACGTCGCATTTGCATTAAACGGATAGATTGCGAAATTGCACGATGGGAATCGTACGACAGCCTCTCAAGATACTTGGATGCGCGATCATCGAAACTCACACACGCTCCATCTCTCTTGCAAGTTGAAAAACTTCGTCTGGTTTCATCGTCCATCCGCTAAAAATTCCTGCTCGCACAAATATTAACTGGTCGAAATCTGTCTTCCTTCTTCTCGATTGTAAAACTTCAGCCTAACGACATTGAAACGTAGGCGAGTGGACAGTCGAATATTTGGAAACTTAGAGATTTGAATGATCGAATATTTGAGAATTTAGAAACTTGGATGGTTGAGTATTTGGAAATTTGGAAATTTGGAATAGCTGGATATTTGAAAATTCAGAGATTCGCATGGTCGAATGTTTGAAAGCTTAGAGATTTGGATGGTCGAATACTTGGAAGCATGGAGATTTGGATAATCGAAT